AAGTCCAACCCTTCCCCCAGCACTGCAGGGTCACCTCTAACTCATGTCCCTCACCCCACATCTCCACGGCTTGGGAACCCCTCCAGGGGTGGGGACTCCACCACAGCCTGGCACAGCCCTGGGCAACCCTCCAGGGCAAGAAATTGTCCCTCAGCTCCAACCTCAACCTCCCCTGGGGCAACTTGAGGCCGTTTCCTCTTGTCCTATTGCTTCTTCTATGGGAGAAGAGACTGAGCCACACCTCTCCACAGCCTCCTGTCAAGCCCTGGTAGAAAGGAGGCTGTAGGTTTGTGTCCTCCTGCCACTGCTGGAGCCACAAGCCTCCCCTGTAGCCTTTTGGGGACGAGGTCTCCATCTTGGAGCATTCCAGATCTTGGAGGACGTGGTGTTGCCCTCAGGGGTGGTGCTCTGGGCTGTGGCTGAAGTGCTTGCTTCCCTCCTGTGGTGCAGGGGAGTTCGGGTCGGTGGTGGAGGGGTGGCTCAGCCAGCCTGAAGGCACCTCCCAGAAGGTGGCTGTGAAGACCATGAAGTGTAAGTCATCACCCTGGCCTCACACAACCCCGCTGGGTTTGTCTCAGTGGGTGCTGGTGTGCCTGCTGTGGGTCTTGGGTGCCCTTTCTGCAGGCCAACACCACTTCATGGGGTTTTTGGCCTCTCTGCCACAGCTCCTGGAGCCAGGAAGGGGCACTGCCATCAGGGAGCCAAGGGGGGCAGAGACACCCCAGTCTCTGGGATCCCCTTTCCTCTGGCCCAGGCAGGAGCTCTCTGCTGTGAAGGGAGGTGGCAGCAGGGATTTGGGCTGTTAAAGCCCCCGGGGTTTTAAACCTCTCCCTTTTCCTCTGCTTGCCAGTGGATAACTTCTCCCAGAGGGAGATAGAAGAGTTCCTCAGCGAAGCAGCCTGCATGAAGGACTTCGACCATCCCAACGTCATCAAGCTCCTAGGTATGGGCTGGCACTCTGCCCTCCAGCTGGGCTGTGGGGCTGGGGAGCCCCCCCCGGGGTCCCTCCCCGAGCTCTGGGGTGCAGCCTGGCTGTGTCTTGCAGGCGTGTGCATCGAGCTGAGCTCCCTGCAGGTCCCCAAGCCCATGGTGATCCTCCCGTTCATGAAGTACGGCGACCTGCACAGCTTCCTGCTCCGCTCCCGCCTGGAGATGGCCCCTCAGGCAAGGAGCAGGGGGGGAAAAGGGGGGGCCCCGGGCCTCTTCTGGGGGCAAATCTGCCTGGGGGGGTTTGAGAACAGAGGATAACTCGGTTGTAGGGATGCTGGGTGGGATCCCTGCCAGCCCTTCCCCAGGCTGAACAAGCCCGACTGTCTCAGCTCCTCCTGGCACACCCTCTCCCCCAGCCCCATCTTGGTGGCCTCCTGGGTCTTTCTCCTGCTGGTGAGCCCCAGATGGGACACAGGATCCAGATGTGGCCTCACCACTGCCAAGGGAAGGGGAAGAACAGTTTTCCTTGCCCTGCTGGCTGTGCTCTGCTGGTGTTTTTGTGCCCAGCACTGAGCCACAGCCAGCTTGCTCTGCAGCAGGGTCCCTGAACCACAGCAGCACAGCCCGGGGGGCAGTTCTTGGGGTTCTGGCTGGAACAGCTGTCCCCACATCTGCAGCTCCTGCAGGCTCCTGGTCCAAGAAATCTTAGCCTGAGGGCGTTAGGGGGTGGGAGAGGCCACGGTGGATGCTGCTGTGGGCTCCTGGTGCTCTCCAAGGCCCACGAGCACCGACCCCTCAGATGTCAGCCAGGAAGCCTTTCAGATCAGACCAAACGTGCTTCCCAAAGGGCTCCTGCCATCTAACCCACCCCTTCCCTTCCCAGTGCGTGCCCCTGCAGACACTGGTGAAGTTCATGGTGGACATTGCCCTGGGCATGGAGTATCTGAGCAGCCACCACTTCCTCCACAGGGATTTGGCAGCTCGAAACTGCATGTGAGTTTGTTCCCTCTGCTCCATCCCGCTCCCCCAGCCCCGGGGTGGGGAGGCCCTGGGGTTTCATAGAATCCTTGAGGTTGGAAGGGACCTCCAAGAAGTCCAACCCTTGAGCCATTAGGGCTCTGAAGTCCTCTGCTAAAACAGATCAGAATCTGTCAGGGTTGGAAGGGACCACAAGGATCCCCCAGTTCCAACCCCTCTGCCATGAGCAGGGACACCTCCCACTAGATCAGGCTGCCCAGAGCCTCCTCCAGCCTGGCCTTAAAGACCCCCAGGGATGGGGCCTCAACCCCCTCCCTGGGCAACCCATCCCAGGGTCTCACCACTCTCCTGGGGAAGAACTTCTTCCTCACATCCAGCCTGAATCTGCCCACTGCCAGCTTTGCCCCATTCCCTTTAGTTCTGTTGTTACTTGAGATCCTAAAAAGTCCCTCCCCAGCTCTCTTCCTTCAGCAAAACCTCCCTGGGGCCCGAGAGCTCAGCCTGGGGTGCCCGCCTGGCACTTGGGGCATCTCAGTCTCCTCCTGCCCCCTCCCTCCAGGCTGCGTGACGACCTGACGGTGTGCGTGGCAGATTTTGGGCTCTCCAAGAAGATCTACAGCGGGGACTACTACCGGCAGGGCCGCATCGCCAAGATGCCGGTCAAGTGGATCGCCGTCGAGTCGCTGGCCGACCGCGTCTACACCACCAAGAGCGACGTGGTGGGTGCTGGGGCAGGGCCTGCCCCCCTGCTCTGGGTTGGTTCCTCCACCCCTCATGGACCTTCACACAGTCGTAGAAGCGTTTGGGTTGGAGGTGTTGAAGATCATTGGGTCTGACTGTTCTCCTAGGTCCCCACCGCCCCGTGGCCCTCAGCACCAGGCCCGACCGTCACCTCAGCACTGCCAGGTCCCCACTTGCCCCCTGGCCCTCACCCCACATCTCCACGGCTTGGGAATTCCTCCACGGGGGGGGGCGCCCCCA